GTGACTGCCAGTTCGTTCCTTTGCCTCCGTGGGCAAAACCGCACTGGACAGCTGGTGATTCGCGTACTTTTTTTATTAGAAAATACACTCGGCCTACTAGCTTCTTTTGATTCCCCGGCTTTCCGTTGGTCTTGGAGGCCGTCTGCTGCATTTGTAGTACACCCATTCGTAACGCAGAACAGTGTTGGTGCTTCGATTACTGGATGAACGCACAAATACCACAAAGTTATCCTTCATGTATTGATTTAGGGCCTTCTCAAATGCCGTGAAGGATGAAGACGATACAGCCACAAATTTCTCAACGAATGCTTGTGAAGCCACTTCCGAAACCATAGCACACCACGTCGAATATGCGCCAAAAATTTCGAAAGGATATTAATTAAAACAAATCGCAAAAAAGTGATGGCAGATAGGGGTGATTTTTGGACTGAGCACATATGCGAAGAAGTGCAACATTTTGACGTTAAAGTTTTTATTTCACCCACAATGGCTTTGCAGAAAAATGCATTGTGCTTCCAAGGTGCGCCGAAAATCAAGCTTGCTTACAACCAACTCGACGCAGAAGCCCCCTGAATCACATCTTCAGACTCCCATTATCCTCACCTGTGCGTAGGCGGCTCTTGCTCCTTTCGATCAGCTGGGGAGCAAGCATGAATGGAGCGGCCTAAACTGTGTCAGTCGAATATGACGAGTGCGGGTGGCGTTCCCCCTACCGTCTTTAGTTTACATCCACTATGTCACGATAATGTCCGACAAAACCATGATAAAGAAACAGTGGTGAATTATGCAGGGAAGAAATATAGCTTTTGGGCATGGATGATTGAAGATGGGTGCTTGTTTTTACTCAACTGCTTGGTTTACTCTTTCACTGGAGTTTCAGGTCGAAATTGAAGCTTCAAGAACTGTGGCATCAAAAATGACACTCATTGGAACTACCAGGCACAACAAACCACTGGATTACAAGGCAAACGCGTCATTAGGACAGGGAAAATATGTACTCGACAGCCGACACCAAACTTGTTTGCCATCCCATGTTTTAAATAATTCAGTGAAGTCCCAGTGTTTGCATCGAAGTAACCATGTGGAGTGCAATGGAATCTCTAGGAGATAGTCGTGCGCAGAGTGTTATCTTCTCGCCACCCCTGATTGATAACCCTGGGAACGTCATGCGTTAATTACACTATTCATACCTGGTGAGAATCAGTGGTCTACGTAAATTATTGTCAAAAATTTTTCTACCGCATGCCTGAATCCGATTACTATGATTGGCTAGTATCGGTTTGTAATCAGTATTACTTGCGACAACAGATGTTAGGACTCGTTTGCGCAGTTGTCTCATCTGTTTCAGCCCTAATCACTTTGTCTAGATCACATGTTGCCTTGGGCGTGTTCAGCTACATACCCCATTTGCGAGCTATTCAACATAAGCGGTACCCTCTACGTGCTATTCACAGTCCTTTTTTCCGATGCTTACCACTAAAAAATCCCTGTTGCTGACTGCCGAACAGTAAAGCCTATTTGCATAATAATGCCTAATATACATATTTCTTTCCTCAGCCAGGCAGTTACAATACTGACAGATTAGATAGTTTTGTTCGCACTTTCGAATTCACCTTATTGTAAGTGTTGGTTGCTATAGTGCCGTTCCGTTCACTGCTTCCCAATCAATATATCTCTGTCCCTATAGCTTTACTTCCCCTACAGAGGGCCGTGGGATTCACTGGGTATGACTACCACCCTATGGAGTCCACGAAAATCTAAAGTTTGCTTCCCGAGAACTCAAGATTTGGAGGCTTTCCAAGACGAACCTCCATCTTTTCACTTAGAAGAAATAAGGCTGCTAATTTTTCTGCACAAGAACTTTCGCCATAAAGGACTAGTATCATCGGGTACTTTTTTTTTTACCAACTTCCACACAGATATTACCCACATCCGTTCATATTCATTATGAGTATGCAACTCAAGTTTTACAATGCTGGCCAAGAGGTTATCAAGGAACATTCAATGTGCCTCAGTAACGGATTACTGAGCTGTTGAAGGACAGCCTAACTTGCACCTGAAACACCTAAGCTTATACTTCGGCATTAGTTGAGTTTCAGCAGTCTAAACCTGATTCAGTAAAATAATCCTTGAAATAGCCCTTAAAGCCTTTATGCAGAACTAATTTCCGAGCCCTCTAGTTCATCAGGTTAGACTGCCAAACGAACCTGTTTTTCTAGGAGGTAGGTCAATCTTGGACTGCCTACCATCTTCCATAACTTCATTTCTATCACCTGTCACCTATTATGAACACCCGCATTATCGTATAGTACTATTTATTGCTATTTACTTATTTTTGTGATTAAGCATGTCCGTACTTTTAAAAGCCACTTTGCCATTCCTTTCGAAATTCGCTTTTGGCAATGTATTTTCGTAGTTGCACCCAGAACGCCTGTAATCGATGGAGAACTGTATCCAGTGTGTACCACTGCTGGCATCAACGTGGAATATGCCACGGAATTCATTTCCCTGTCAACTTCTGCGGAATGATCCGAATCCCCTATTGAAATTTCTCTGGCACCCTCTTCTCACTCAAAAAATGTAAATGAGTCTAGTGTGTTCTTGTACTTTTGAGTTCTGTGGAACAGTGTTTTTATAACTGCTAACGTACATATCGTTGCCCAAGTCAATGTTTGTCTGAAACCGACACGGTAATAACCAGTTGCTTATCCCTCCCATCTGGATAGGCATATGAAATTACATGGGTTTTTCGGTACAAACTAATTGCCCTGTCCAGTGGGTATATCACCACTAACTGAGCATCCAGACTATCGGCATCCTACCCAATGATAACTCAATTCAGCGATGCCACGGTGTGGTGGATGTGCTATGAATGCTGCTCTATCTCTGGTAAGTAACTTGGTTATTGGTACGCACGTAACAAGATAACAAGCACTAACCAAACTTAACTTTTAAGTAGACTTCTTTGCATAAAGGAAACTACTCACACAGTTGCTGAAAACTCTTAGACAGCCCACGGCCGGTTTCGCCCTACTTGGGGCTCATTAGGTAGGCCTACATGCAACACATTCAGTTGAGGAACATTATAAACGAGAGATTCACTTGAGTCTCCCGTGGAAACCAAATCGATTTGCAAATGAGTGTATATGTCGAACACTTCTTTGCAGTTAAGAATTTGTTGCACCTTTGCGTTGATCAGCGATTTAATCTTTTTGGTACTCAATCGGTGCAAGGCTTGCTGCCTTTAGCCACGAAATTACCTGAGTCGTTTTCCATCCAATCATTTAAAACACATTTTTGCGAAAGTACACTTCAGCAAATCTTTCTCGAATTGCGTCATCAATACATGAAGAGTTTGTCGCATTTCCGAAAGCATGGCAAAATCATTGGGAAGACAATGTCCAGTAATTAGGTCACGGATCGATACAGCTGGAGCGACAGAGGCGTCGGGCTACAGTGAGCTATTACTGGCGCAGGACGGTGTGTTTGCCGATCTATGTCGAACTTGAAACGTAAGGTTGTCGTTCAGGGATCATTATTTTTTCATCACAACAGTCGATTTTTAAGGAGGCCTACAGAAAGAAAGTTCTAACGTTTCAACACTCATGGTAAAGTTGTGGTTTGTTTCCGAAAAACAGCTACAGGAGCGCTTTCATTCTTATTGGGATTCACCAAATAGACATGGCATTTTCGGTCTGTTTCTTGCAGAAAAAACATCCATATTGCAGAGTTGTTCGGACACCGATCACTATTGTTTTGGTCGTCCAGTTAAATCCAAAACAACGTTTAATAGTTGTCAAATCCTTCGCGATTCCACGGCTGCAACAAGCAAAACTCCATCACCAGGATAACCAGTTTGGACTTTAACCGATACTCGATACAGGATGGTGAAAACGGTGTAACACATTCGTGGTGAGCAGAAATTTCATTTGGGATTGGAAACAGCAAAACGTTTGGTAGCCACACCAACAAGATCCAAATGAACAACAATGCTTGTTTTGGTCCGTGAAGCATATAAACAAAGACTGTGATAATCATGTTGCTACCACTACAGGTAGGCGTCAATGCCACAATAAACTTAGTATGTTTGTGTACAGTTTATGTGCAGTCCGTTTTTTCGAATCTTCGGAGTCCTAGGTTGTTAATGCGAGTAGTCACGGAAACGCTGATACCGTGATAGATTTACGGGTCAAAGTGATTAAGGATACTAAGATTACGGTCGTTGCGTAGGTCATTAAAATGGTTGGTCACGAGTTCAGCTGCCGCTAGCGGTATTCTTGTAGAAAACGAATGAAGTGGTAAAATTCATGTTTGTCTAGCGATGAATAGGCGAGACTATCTAGTTTACAGTAAGTGGCTTGTTTTAACATTCGCGTCTGGTGTAGACAAGCAATCTGGATTGTCAAAAACACCTAAATACCGACATCAGCAGCGGTAGCAGTCGTAGAGAATCGCATATCTAACGCACGATCGGGTTGAGTCAGTTAGATGATTCCTGATGCGTTAGAGATATTGTTTACCTGCTAAAATTAGGAATGCGATTGCGTTGGCACGCTCTGAGTGGTCAGGTTACCCCCAGATTGTTGGACAACTAGGCGAGTAGCAGTCACTTTTGCTTGAACTTTCTTAGTGGTTACTTCTAACATTTTCCAAGCATCAGATGATATCACATTTGAAAAGGAGGCGACAAATCTCTGAAACCGAGATTCTGGGCGTTATAAGTCGAGTTTAATGGGGCGCAAAAGTCACTGTAGTGGATTGGAAAACGATTTCATAGCAGAAAGTGGAGTCACGTTGGAATATGAGTTTGAGGGGAAATTTTTTCACGTTAATTGTGAGCACACATTTATTTGCTGGTTTATGTGAATTCCGCCAGAATCAATTTCAAAGAAATATCTCCGTGATTTGAGACAGGCATTGCAGCGATGAGTGAATGTGTCACTGTACTCGCATCAATGTACTAACTTCAACATGGAAAGCTTTCCAAACCGAAAAAAAAATCAGGAAGTCCGAACGCTAACTAAAGGTAACCCAGTGCCGGAATCAGCTTGTGGAGTGTTCTCGCTCGTTGGAACATCTCGCAAATTCTCTCCACTAGTATCTTCCACGAGAAACAGTAGGCCGAACTGCACTGCTGCAATTAATGCGTAGATAATGACAGATATACCGTGCCCGATAGTGCTGTCAAGCTGATTCACAACTGGGGAAAGTCCTCCACCTAACCTTCCAAATCCATTGATTATACCCATGCTACGCGTCCTTGTTAACGAAGGGAACAGCTCTGCCAGATACGTCGATAGCATTACGAGACTGGCAGAATACAGTATTAGAGCCAAATTACAGCAAGTGTTTAGCACAGTATCGGTCACAGGTTTCCAGACAAACGTATACACTCCACCGATCGACAGGGATATACATGTTATTGCCATACAGAGGACCAGAGGCAGTCGACGAAATTTGTAGAAGCGATACGCCAAAGAAGCGATGATTGGTCCAGGGATTGATGTGAGTGAGTTGATCAGAACAACGATATACACACTATCTCTAATCATTCTGGCGTAAAGAATTACACCAAACAGTGTAAGAATCTGGGTGCTTGCTAGAAAAACCCCTGTAATTAAAGTCTTGAGGTGCCGACGGTCGATTGAACATGATTTCAGATTTCGCCAGATATTTGACTTGGAGCGCTTGGTGCTTTTATTCATTGGAACTTCATTTGCGGACGCCATGAACTTACCCAACAAAATTTCTAGGTGTGCGGATTTGTTCTGCTGTTTCCGCCAAACCCGATTGTAGCGTAGTCCAGTTTGCAAGACGCGAACTGCGTCCACTTGTCTGTTTTGTGAATTCAACCATCGAGGTGATTCCGGTAGGACACAGAAAAAACAAAGGCTTAGGAGACAGGGTGAAATCAACACAGCGTTTAATAGTCTCCAGTTCGGAACGAAGTATGCAAATCCAGCCGCAAGCGCTCTGTGGAAGAAAAATGCACCCAGTACTATTGTAGAACTAAAATAACCTCTGTACTTAGCCAAAGTAATCTCTAGCGGGAGAATGCGAAGCACAGCTGCTCTTCCGGTGTCGGTTATTGCAGTGAATATCCGCGCAAAATTGTAAACATGTTGATTGGGTGCTAGGGAAACGATTATTCCAGCAACAATCTCCAACAAGGAGAATACGATTGCGGTGGGTCTTCTCCCATATTTGTCCCCAAACCATCCACCAAAAAGGTAACCGAAAAACATTCCTATCATATATAGTGAGGTCCCCAAAGGAGCCAACCACTTTTGCGAACATACTAAATCAAACTCAGCGACCACTGAGCTTGGATACTGAAACTGAGTGCTCTCATACACATATCCGTAAGAACAGGCTTCCGTTTGTGTGTCATTCTCCACAGTCGGATGATTAATTAAATTTTGCACCACCTGAAGATTTTTCCAATCATAAACATATCTGGAACACGTAGATGGTGGACCGACGATTTTAGATGCGTTTTCAAATGAAATATTACTTTCTATAAAGAGGTCTTCAATCTCAGGCTCCATTCGGCAACGTACATTTGGTTCAGCGTTCACAAACACCGGAAGAAGTGCCATGTTTGGTCCTGACAAAACTATCAGCGATACAATTAGCCACTGCCAAATTCCACACGCACCAGTCTGTTTTTCCAGCAGTTCATCGACATTAAGTTCTTCAATTGGTGAAACTTCGATTTCAGGCTTTGTTGATGATATAGAATCTGTGACATCTTGTGCATCTTCAGCAGCTTGAACCGCCATTCCAAGTAATGTGATGTATTTGGAACTGTTGCGGCAGCCAAACGCAAAGACTCGAGTGTCTTTGTCTGCGCAAACTACTGTCTAGATGGTCAAGGCCGTCTCGCGCTGGTAAGCGTCAATTCGATTGGACGATAATATTGTCCAATCCCGGTGGAATTCGTGCCTGCATGTCACGTGAACATCGCACTGGACTGATCAGCCGCCCGTGACCGGGGTACGAGAGTTTTGTGATGTGCGCACTGCTGATGATTCCTAACGAGAATGAAACTGCTGTACTGTGCTTCTGGGCTTTTCGCCATGGATTGGCTTCCCATAGGGGATGAAATCTCCATTACCGTTAAGAGTCCTTTGTCACAGGAGGCTCATTCCCATAGTCATTTAATGGGGTTTTCAAGCTGTATGCTCTAATCTATGAAAAAAAACTTGACGGAATGATGTTAACCAATAGATAAAACTCAAGGTTTCGTGAACAGACTTATTAATCTTCACTTAGATCCTATCTGATGAGAACGTTGACGATTACAGAGAGAGCTTTTTTGAGCCGAAAAACTGAATCCGTCAGTCTCCTGGTTTAACTAGCGCTGAGTCGCTTGATTTCTCTTATCTAGTGAGAGACAGGATGCGGGGATTACTAACGAAAACTTTGATTCACAGTTCGAATGTTACCATCATTATAGAGGTACAAGCTTAATATACGGTTGTGGGAAGGAAGCCAATTCGACATCGAGCATTTTTAATGTCCAATAAATTACAGGCTCCTGTTTTAACCTCCCGGTGAACAACTCCGATTTTACCTAAGGAGACAACCTGAACTCCGGCCAGTCAAACGTTTAGCAGTTTCAACTGACCTCTCTTTGCACTGATTTGGTGTCACATCCATCCCTACCCATGGTTCAACCGTGTTTATTAGCGCAGGCAGAACCGAATGGAGGTAATCATTCAATATTAGAACAAAATAACTGGAGCACATTAGACAGGTAAAGACGCTCAGTTTGAAACACCATGGTCGTGATCTTCTCTCTTGCAGCTAGAGAAATAACTGGGACAGTTGGTGGGAACTGCGCACTAATGGATAATGCTTCCTTAGTTGTTATCTCTATGTGTGTAGGTTGGAAGTTTGACTAGAGAGAGAGAGAGAGAGAGAGAGAGAGAGAGAGAGAGAGAGAGAGAGAGCGATCTTGCTGTGACTCACGTTAGTCTGCAAAACTCGCCGCCTATAAGATTTTG